CTGCCACCTTCTAACTGGGTCATTCCCCTTCCCAGCTACATCTGAGAGACGAGGTGTCAAACGCAGCTTCTGCCTAGAGAACCAGTTTTAAACAGCCTGGCCCCTGCTGTGCCCACCCTCCCCCATCAGCTTCTCCCGGCTCTTCCCCCCCCCCCCACAACCTACCAGCCTCCTTTCCCCACCTGGGCTGGGACGCACATGGGGAGGGGTCTGGGGCTACTGCGTGTGTTGCTTTATTTGACAGATGCTCCTTAGGCTGTGGAGTCTAGGTTGGAACCCCATGCTGTCGCATCCTAGCTGTGTGAGCTTGGGCAGGCACCTTACCCTCTCTGAGCCTCATTAATGTTATTTGTAAAATGAGGCTAATAATAGATCCTCACACCTCTTAGCGTTGTTATGAAGCTTGAGTGAGAAAATCCATGTGAAGTTCTTGGCACACTGCCTGGCATGCGGTGAGGATTCAACCAATACCACAGTTACCAGCTTTATCATGAGCTCCTACTTGGCGCAAGTCCTGGTGAGAAGGATGGGGCTGACCACAACGAGTCCTTTAGGTAGATGGAAGCGATAAATAAGATAGTGATGAGTGTTGTTAAAACCAGGGCCTGATACAGTGCTTGGAGGAGAGGGAACCAAGGAGAGCTTTCTAGAGGAGGTGGCCTTGGGAAAGGTACAACATTTGAGTTGGTGAAGATGTAGGAGGGCAGGAAGGGTAATTTAGGTTGAGGGACCCAGACTGGAGAGGCAGGGAATGTGAGATGTGTGTTTCTGAGCACCTGCTAAGGACTGGCAAAGACAGTCATAGGCACTGATGCACTTCGTACCTACCGTGTACCAAGCACAGGGGCTGGGCTTGATGGGCACTGTCGCTTCAAGGTGCAATCCTATTATTATCCTTAACGTTATACTGGAAGAAACAGGCTCAGAAAAATGATCCAAGTTAACTTGCCCGAGGCTGTGCAGCTTCTAACAGAAATGCAGTCCCAGGCCTGAGGCTCCCAAGCCCAGTCCTTAGCCATCCCCAGTAAGCACTGCTGTATCTAGAGAAACTAGTGAAACAGTGGCTTCAATAGTGGGTTGGAGCCAGTTCTCAAGAGGGCTCTGAATGCCCCAGAAATGGGGCTGGATTTGACAGCAATGAAATGGCATATAACAAAACGGGAATTCCATAGCAGCGGGGAGCCATGAAATGCTCTTGAGCAGGAGATGCACCTTGAAAAGGTAAATCTGGTAATGGTTGTGATGACAGCTGGGGCATCAGAGAGAGGCTGAAGGTGAGAGGCCAGGCTGGTGGCTGTGGCAATGGGCCAAGGGATAGGGTCTGGAATGAGGGGGGAGGGGGTTCATCCCTTCCCTGGGCCTCAGTTTCTCCATCTGAAAGCTGAAGGGGCTGGACCAAGACCTGAACCCTGCTGCAACAGACTCATCATCTCAGCAAACATCTCCCTCGTTGTATGGGACCTCAGCCTCCCCACAGGCCACTGACCTGGGAAGTACTGTTTGTTCATGAGGAACGGATGCTGAGCCTTTGACATGATGATGTCTGACCCTCTTAATGAAAATGCTGCTATTTGTAGATGCAAAAGGGAAGATCACAAAATAGAAGCCCTTGTAGTCCTTTCCTATCCTGGCCTCAGCCAAGTGATAGTAACCACTCAGAACTGGTTAATATTTTGATGATGGAAAGAAGCCCAACAGTCTCTCTCCTCTTTCCAGTTCTCACTGTCCCTCCTTAGGATAAAACCCGGGTCGTAGGGACGCCTGGGTGGCTCAGTCGGTTAAGCGTCTGCCTTTGGCTCAGGTCATGATCCCAGGGTCCTGGGATCAAGTCCTGCATCTGGCTCCCTGCTCCATAGGGAGCCTACTTCTCCCTCACCCTTTGCCTGCTGCTCCCCCTGCTTGTGCTCTCTCTCTCTGTCAAATAAATAAATAAATAAATAAATAAATAAATAAATAAATAAAATCTTAAAAACAAAAAAACAGTCCCAGTCCCAGCCTCAGGTACACCGACTCCTCAGCTGAGGATGGAGTACCGTCCCAGGAGGGAGACAGGAGCAACCAGGCTTCCACCCCTGGCATGAGCTTGCTCAGCTCAACGGCCATGGGCCCCACCCCTAGGGCTGGGGCCACAGAAACGTGTCAAAGCCAAGATCTCACCTCTTCCCTCTTCTCTCGGTTGTCTGACTGTTCCTCACACTTGTCCTGTTCATTCATTCAACAAAATGTATTGAGCCCCTACTAAACGTCATGCACTATGATGGTGCCTGGAAGGTAGTGATGGGTCAAATGGATGTGGCTCTGGACCTCATGGGCGTTCCTTTGGTGGGTGGGGAAAGAGACAACACAAACACACAGATAAGTGAGTAAATTGAAATCAGAGGTGGTGGTGCTCTGAAGGAAACACGGTGAAGGTTATCGACGTGTATAGGGGGAGCCTCCCTTGGGAAATATGGAGGACCTCTCTGAGAAGATGACCATTATGCTAAGACCTGAAGGGTGAGAAGGAGCTAGGCCTGCAAAGTTAGGGCACAGGAGTTTCCAGGAAGAGGGAACAGCGGCTGATAAGAAGACCTGGTACCACAAGACCAGGTGGCCAGCAACATTTGCTGTGGGGGAGGGGGCGCAGGGTGGGTGTTGGCATGTATTGACCTTCCCTTTGCCGTCATGGACAACAGCACTACACAGGCACCATCCTAGAGACCCTGGATCTTCACTGCCCAGAAGGAGAAACTGAGGCCAAAGGCGGGGGGGGCACAACCTGGCCTCTCTCTCAGGGAAGGTCTGTAACTCCATCCTGATTCTGCCAATTCTGCCCCATCTCAGAGGCACCAGTCGGAGTCAGATGCCCCTGGGCAGACAGGCAGCAGCTTCTAGTTTCTAGAAAGCTGATGATCCTGCGTCCTCAGCAGAATGGGTCGAACCTGGCTTCTGGGGCAGCCACTTTCCTTGGGAGCCTGCATACTTCCCTGGGCTCTCTCATTCTACTTTGTGGGAATAAAGGGGGAAAGGTTGTTTTTGCCTTTGGGCCGACTCACTGCTAGGCCCCCATCTGCCTGGGGACAACACTTTCCAAATGACTTTTGAGACCGGAGGCTGAGCAGAGTTCGCACGCAGCTCCTGTGCCCAGATGGAAAAAGTGATTTGCCCGACGTCACACAGCCTGAAAGCTCCCCCACGCCTCCCACCAGTCCTCTGACCCCCACTGGCACACTCTCTCCAGGTCCTTGCTCCTGAGGAACTCCCCCTTCCAACTGGGACCCCCCCCATCTCCAAAGTTGCCTGATCAGCAGTCACAACAACTGGAATAGAAGGGCAGGAAAGGCAGGCTTCCCTTCCAGCGAACAGACACAAAACCGGGGAGTCAGTGGCCACAGACACCTTCTCTCATTTAGTCTCATGCAGGGTTCTCAACCAGGGTTAATGGAGAAGTCTTTCGGGAGCTTCTAGAACCCCTCAAATTGTCTGCAGAATTAGGCAACACTTTTTTTCTAGGGAGAAGATTTGTATTTTCCACCAGATTTTTCAAAAGGGTCCTTTTATTACTTAAACAAAGGTATAAGACCCTTCCCTATCATGTCACAGATGGTAAAACCGAGACCCAGAAAAGATGACTTATTTAAGAGAAGCTATTGTTGAGAGGATAAGAACACAGGCTTGATGGTCAGTCTGCCAGGGTTCAAGTCCCAGCCCCCCCTCCCCATTTACTGGTCTTATGGCCTCATGCAAGGATTTAACCTCTCTAGGCCATAGATTTTTCACATTAAAAATGGGTATGCTAATAGTACCTACCATAATGTGAGAATTAACAGCAGGGCCTGGTCCATTAGTAAGTGGTCCATAAGCGTCAGCTATTCTTATTTAGCCAAGGTCACACAAATGAGAGGCTTCTGGAGGCAGATAGGAGCTTCCGTGTCCCTGGGACTCCCAAGAAGGTGCTACGATTATAGCCAGACCTCCCCAGCATCTGCCCCAGGACTGAGGAGTGTGTGTGGGGACATGGGGGTGAAGAGAGAGAGGAGATGGGGGAAGTCCCAGGCTCCCTCCTAGCTGGGGGAAGTGGGGGAGGGGATGGACATCAAAGGGTGGGCAGGCCGACTTCCCGCCCCTAAAGCCAGGTGGCCTTTGTCAGGACAGGCCGGACACAGTCGGGACAATGGGGTATCGTGTTCACTTTCCGGCCAACAGGAGTCACTATCGAGCTAAGGCGCAGTCTGTTACATGACAAAGGGGGGACCTATAAAGGAGGTCAGGCCGCCGCCCCTCATTAAAGCTGGCCCTTTGTCCTGCCCCCTCCTCTGCCTTTGAAGAGGGTGGATCAGAGAGGCCTGCCTGGGGGCAGGAGGTTCACAGTCTCAGGAGCCAAACAGTAGCCACCTTCCCAACTGCTCCTGCCTGCCCCTCCCCCAGGGTCAAGAGTTCAGGGAGGGCCCTGGGATGGTAAGGTATGGACCCCCCCACACCAGTGTAACCACAGAGGGCTCTTTTTTAGTCCAAAGGATAGGAGCCACCAGTCTCTTCACTGTACCGATCCGGGTGCTGAGACCTGGAAAGGAAAGTGGCCCGCCTGTGTGCACACCATCAGTGCATCGCCCCTTCTGGGGCCGGTTTGCAGCTTCCTCTTGGGGATGGGATACGGGTGGAAGCCCCGGATGACGACGGGGGCCAGTGTTGCTAAAGAGCCCTGGGATAAGTCTGGGGAGCTGCGTTCTAGTTCCGGCCTAGCCCGGCGACCAGGGCGCGTTTCCTCACGTCTCGGGGTCTCCGTTCCCCTGTCTATACGGAAAGACAGGCTGTGCTTACCAAGGCCCGGCAGTCTGGGATTCAGAAGGGAGAGGCTGAGAGGACAGCAATCCAGGACCAGAGTGGTCAGGGAGGCCCAAGCGGGGAACCCTGGGGGAGCCGGGGCAGGGGTCAGACAGGGGGCGGCTGGGCCTCGCCCTAGCACCTGCCGGTGCCCAGGGGAACCGTCCGGAGGCGCAGGGCGAGGGAGGGGTCCTTACCGCTGCCACCGCCGCCTCCAGCCGCCACGCTGCGCCGCATCCACTCGTAGGGCGTCCGCCTTTGCGCTCCGGGTGAGCACGGTGCGCCCGGGCCGCCGAGCGGCTGCGCCAGGAGGCTTGGGCCAGGCCCAGGGGGCGCGGGCACCGGGCTAAAGTCTGGAGGGGGCCCGAATGCCAGCGGAGCTGGGCTGGCGGCAGGGGCCGTGGGGCCTGGGCCATAGGCGGCGGCCCAGTCGTCCTTGGGCGCAGAGAAGGGCGCGCTCCAGGCCGCAGAGGGTGCGGGGGCAGGCTCCACGTGAGAATAGCTGGTGAAGTCGGGGTACTGCGGGGGCCCCGGGGGCGCAGGCGGGGGGCCGTAGGCTTGCGGGCCCAGGCCGAGGCTCGCAGGCCTGGCGGGGCCGGGGTAGACCGGAGAATCCTTGTCCAGCACATAGCCCACGTACATGGTGGCCGCGGGGGCCCGCGCGCATGCTGGGCCCTGGAGCCGCCGCTGCGGGCCGCCCCGACGAGCAGACTGCTCACCTGAACTCGCGGGCCCGGCCGCCGCGCCCGCCCCACCCAGGCCTTTTATAGCTCCGGGCGCCCGCGGCCCCAGCCCGGGCGGGTTTGCATTTCAAAGCGGGGGGGAGCCTCAGGGCCGCGAATCAAAGGGGGAAACCCGTCGGGGGCGGGGGGTTCAAAAGGAGACAAATTGCCGCCCCAAGCGGGAGGCGGACGGGCCGGGGCCTGGAAGGGGGTGGGGGCGCGGAGGGCGCGTCCCAGGCCAGCGTCCGAGGCATCGCTAGGTGTGGGAGTCTCCTGCGGGGCCGACGGCCTAGCGGCACGAACACTTCGTTCTCCCCGGGCCGGCCGCGTGGACCGCCCGTGACCCCATTTTACAGGTGGAAAAAAGGGATCCGAGGGACGGCGAGGTGGGGGGGACCCCAGGCCGGCGTCACACAGCCACGTCGGCCCTGTGTTGCACTCGGCAGTGATCAGCTTGAAGTGAGGGGGCGACCTGACTTCAAACAGGGTTCCCCTGTAAGGTAGCGAGTCCTTAATCTTTGGGGGGGGAGGGGTCACGACCCCTCTGAGCCTCCAATGAAAGCTTTGGATGTTTTTCCCGGGAAAATGCACATATGCACATACACGAGTCTGCATACAACTGGGGCGTTTTCCTGAGTTGACTTTCCAGAGAAAGCTCTTAAAGCGGTAGGGCAAGGGCATCTTTGCAGGACCTTCTAGGGAATTTTTCACAATTCTCTTGACGAATCCTTTTAGCTCCCCCCCCCGCCCTTTATTTTAATGAGAAGTTTCAAACGTACACAAAAGTGGAGCTTGCAGGGAACCACTAGACACCCATCACCCAGCTCCAACCATTAGCAAGATTTTGTAACTTATTTCATCCACTCCCCTCCCTTTTTGCTAAAGTATTTTAAAACAAATCTCCAACATCATGTCATGTTACCCCTACATACTTCAGCATGCATCTCTAAAACACATGGACACTTTCTTACATAATATGCCATTAACACATCTAACAAAATCAACACAAATTCTTGAGTATTATCTAAAACTCAGTTCGTATGCAAAATACTCCAGTTGATTCAAACGTGTCTTTTTAACAGTTGGTTTGTGTGAATCAGGATCTAAGAGCCCTGATTCATTTATTGTAGCTGGGGCCCACTGGTATTTTAAATGCATCTTGCATCCCCTTCTCCTTATGTTAAGGACTGGTAAATATTTCATAGCTACCCAAGGGGGAGTGCCTAAAACAGGTGAGGAGCTGGGAGTGGGTAGCAAGGTTGAGAGATTTGGGGAAGGATTCATGAAGGACAAGGCTCTGGGTCAGGAAGTCTTGGGGCAATGGGTTTCCTTTCCCCAGTGGGAGTTCAGTGCCCACCAGCTGCACAGAGGCTGCCCCATGATGTTTGATCCTCCAACATTTCCTGGGGACACCCTAATTGTGCAGAGACATGTATTATCTATTCAACCTGTCCCTCCCTTGGGTAGGACATTTCAAGACTAGACAGATGTGTCAGGATCTGGATGCAATTTACAGGGTCCAGTGCAAAATGACAGTGTGAGGTCCCTTGTTCAAATATTATTGAGAATTTCAAGATGGTGACAGGAGAGAATTCAACCATGCAGGGGGCCCTTCTAAACACTGGGCCCTGTGTGACTGTACAGGTGACCCCCCCCCCAGGAAGATGGCCCTGGCCAAAATCTTGCACTTCTGGGGTTCTGATGGTATGGTACTCTAACAGAATAAGGGGCAGTAAAGACAGGGCTCCCCTTCCTGCTCAGAGGAACTCTTTCCATTGCACAAGTGGAAGCACTGAGGCCCAGAAAAGAAAAGGGGGGCGCTGCTTGGGCTGTCACTGACATGGAGGCGCACAGGGCTGCCTCTGCCGGAAAGGCTCCCTTTCCCACGTAAGGAAGGGGACGTGTTGGTGAAATTTGCTCAGAAGTCATCTGGAATGAGGGCTCCGCACAGCACTGACCTTTTCAAGGGGTCAGTAAAAGATTGCAAGTATACAGAGAAGGGAGAAGAGGCCCCAAAGGACTGGGTTTTCTCTCTGAGTTGACGAATTAATTGCTCTGACAAGGAAGAGAAAATCTGGAGTGGGGCTTGAAGTACTGAGTTGGGGAGGGGTGCAGGGCAGACCTGAGACCCGAGAGAGAAAGCTGTAGGCGCAGACATAGATTTCAACCCCTCTGTAATAAAGTGCTCTCTAAAAGGCCATCCGTCACGAAATGGGCTGTCAGGAGATAGAGAGTGAGCTCATTATCACAGGAGGTATGCAAGTGACTGCGGGAGGGCTCTGATCAGGGATGCTGCGGAAAGTGTGCCTATCCTGGCGGGGAGGTTGGGGGTGGGGGAAGGTTGGTGCTTTCTAGGTGCCCTCTAAAAGCACAGAGGTTGGGAATAGGTATAAGAATTCATTTGTTCGTGTGTTCATTCATTTCACACATGTATTAACACTCCTCCTTTGTGTTGACATTGTGTTTGGTAGTGGGTGAGGCCCTGCCCTTGGGGTTTTCACAGTCTGGGGGGGTGGGTGGGCGGGGAAGAAGCATGCAGGAGTCAAATAATCACAAACAAAGGTAAAATGACATCTTGGTAAGGGTCCCAAGAATTGGGACGTTTGACCCAAAGGCAGGAGATATGGAAGTCTTGCAAGAGGAAGTGACATAGGAGTCAAGGTCCTGGGAACCGGGAAGGGCATTGCGGGCAGAGGGACAGTGTGAACAGAGGTGTTGAGGCCCAAGGGGACACATGGTCTGTAGGACCGGACCTGGAGCTCAGTGATGGGAGGCAGGAGATGAGTTGATGAGGGCAGGGCAAGGCCGGGGGGAGACCTGAGGCCAGGGGGGGACAGGCCTGATGAGAGGTGTGGGAGGACTTCCTTGAGGGCTTTGGGGTGTGGAGATAAGAGTGGACCGATGGCTGTGGCTGGCGTGTGGAGAATGAGTCAGAGGACAAGCGGAGAGCTGGAGAGCCGCGGGGGAGCTGTGCAGGGGTCCAGGAATGATAGAAGATAGTGTCCAGCATTGGGTGGTGGCTGGGAGCTGGGGGCCTTTTAGGCAAAGTGGGGACGATTTCCCTAGCAGGGAGAGCCCGGGAGCCCTGAGGCCTGGGGGAGCCGTGGCGGCTACTCCCTGAAACCCTAGTGTTGTCCTCCCCCAGGGTAGGGGCTGGGGTAGGCCTCCCACTCCGCAGACACATGCTGGGGCACACCTCTATTACCACCCTGCCCTGGGCTTGCTCTTTCTTGAGTCCTGCTGTTGGGAAGGCTGGGGCGAACTGGCCCTGTTTGCTGGATGAGGAAGCACAGAGAGGTCCAGGTATCTAGGCAAGGTCCCAGAGGCACAGCACTGGGCATGGAAGCTGGGTCTCCTGACCCCACTGGCCTTTCTCACTGCCTAACCAGAGTGCCCAAGAGGTCCTCAACCCAGCCCTGCCAAGCCTCCAAACCCACCCCTGGTCCACCTAGGGTAGGAGAGCAGGGACAATAGACTTCATAGCATCCTGATCACGGAAGACCCTTGCAGAGCCAACCTACTCATTTTACAGATAGGGCAACTGAGGCCTAGAAGCCTAAAGAGAGAAGGGATTTTTGCCAAGTTCCCACAACAGGACAGTGCTGTAGTGGAAATAGACCCAGGTCTTCTGACTGCCAGCTCAGTACCCCTTTATCCCATCTCTCTGAGAATGCAGGGTTTGGCCCTCCACCTTGTGCCCGAGCAACAATGACAATAGTACCACTATCCAGTGAGCATTCACTACGTGCCAAGCGTGGTGGCCAAGTCATTTGCATGTATTATTTCCCGTAGGGTGAGCTAGGGTCCTGTTAACCCCATCTTGCAGATGAAGCAGCTGGAGCTCAGAGAAGTGAAGTCACCCACCTGGGGCCACATAGCAGGTGAGTGGCCTATCTGGAAGTTTTTCTTTCCTCTCCAGGTAAGCCAGCTTGGGAAGATAGGGCACTGTGTATGTCTCTCTCCTAAACTTGGGGTTTTGCTTATATAAATATCTGCTTCCTCTTCCTCCTCTGGCTCATGCAAAAGAGCCTCAGCTCTCCCCTTATCCTCACCTTCAAATGGATGCCCCCCGCCAACCAGAGATCTGAGACAGCCCTGATAGGACACCCTGGCTTTCCCCTCCCGAGGACACTGTAACTTTGTTCAAAAGTCCCGGGCTGGGCATCTGGAATGGCAGGTCCTGCCCCACCTTAGCCTTGGACTTGCCATGTGACCTTGAGCACTTGCCCCCCTGGGTCTCAGTGTCCCCGTATGCCCACTGGGGACCGGTTGCCTCAGACAGTGGTCCAGCATGGTACTGTGACTGTGTGTGTGGAGAAGCCCCCGTCCACGTCACAGCCTCTTCCTCTTATCTCTGGGAGCGGCTGTTTATTGGACCCCCTCCTTCGCTCTGGCTCCCCCGGTGGCCCCCCTTCCCTCTGAGTTGCTCTCACATACCCAGCCACGGGCTCCTGGGGTGGGGCGCAGAGACATGGCCTCATAAAGATCTTGGCGATAAGTTGGTTTTTAAGCAGGTTTATGGCCCTGGAAGAGGAAAGGTTCTGGGCTGAGCTTTCTGTTGGAAATGGTTTGCTTAAGAGAAGCTGGTGGGCTAACTTTCAGCCTACCCAGACCTCAGCCCAAGGGCTTTGACTCACTCTGTGACCTGGGGCCAGGAACTCTCCCTGGCTGAGCGGTTTCTGAGGTGCAAGCGGGGATGGTAATTCCTGCCCTGCCCACCTCCAGGGGGCAGATGTGAGGCTCTCGGGTGGGTGCTGGGTTCCTGCAGGGTGTGTTTTCCTGCTGGACCCCTCCAGCACCTTTCCTCTCGTCCTCCAGGGGCTGGGGCGTCACCTGCTGGCACTGCAGGGTACTGCTGGAAGGCTCTGGCTGCTGTCAGTCGGGACCCCTGGACAGACTCGCTGGCTCTCCTCCTGCTCC